GGGAATCCCGCACGGCGCCGCGCTCAGCCCGGCCCCGAGCCAAACCGCAGCCCCGAGCACCGCTGGGCCGCGGAGCCGCTTGCGGAGTTGGAGCGGTAACTAACGATGGAAATGTGCCTGTGCGCTCCTGCGTGCGCGTCGGCGCGTACGCGCTGGGGAGCAAAGCTAACGCGGTGTCAGTGCCGCGAGCGCACGCCCGGCCGAGGGCAGGAGCGGAGCCCCCGGGGCTTTGCACTGCTGCCATTGGGGCGTGCTGCCGTGGTGCGGGCTCACGCAGCACCGGGCGCTGTGCATTTCCCCTGCTTGGGTTGATAAAAACTTCCACTCTGCAAAATGAGTGGGAACGAGAGAAACCCGTGGGCGCCAGCAAGCAGAGAAACAAACGAAACCGATCAACGGCCGTCGGAAGCTCCGCGAGCCGTCCTGCCCTCTCCTCCCTCCGCTGCCCCCCGTGCAGCCGTTGCCAGGACGCGCCATGGCGGAGCAGGAGCTGGCCGCGCTGCCCCTGCCGCAGCTCCGGGACCGCCTGGAGCAGAAGCGGTACCGGCTGGGGCCGGGCTGGGGGCGGCGGGGCGAGGGGATGCACGGGGTGGTAACTGGAGCCGGGCAGGGGCTGGGGCTGGGACGGGACAAGAACAGGGAGAGGGGCAGAGGCAGGGAGAGGGGCAGAGAAGGACCGGGACAGAGATAAGACAGGGGTAAGGACATGGATGGGACAAGGGCAGGGACAGGATCGTGGGCAGGACGAGGACGGGGGCAGAACAGGAGGACAGGGGCAGGACGGAGACAGGAATTGGACAGGAGCAGGAATAGGACAGAGGCAGGAGCGGGGATGGGGGCAGGACACAGAGGCTAAGCCGCCCCTGGCCACCTGAGGATCCCTCCTGCAGGCCCCTGGCCCAGGTTCTGGCAGCCCCTTGTGTCCAGGTTGGAACAGGGGCAGCTCTGAAGGTGCTCTTTTCTGTGTCCTGGCTCTTGGAAGGGAGACCTGCAGCCTCCCTCATTTTGGGGGATCTGCTTTGCATTGGATTGTTCTCCTTTGCCCACTGCTCCTGTCACAGTACACATCCATCACTTTGCAGCCATGCCAACGACTTACTGAAAGTCAAGGTGGAGTTATTTCAGAACCAGTACCACAAGATGAAGCTGAGCAGCACGGACCTCCCACAGCACAGCTCCCCACCAGAGATGGTACCCATACTGGTATGGAGTGGGGCAGATTGGGAAGAGTGACTTAACCCCAATCCCAACTCGAAAACAGGTGTGCTGGGCCTCTAGGTGTAGGTGTGGGCTCACTCACTCTTCTGCATGCCAGGCTGGGTGATTTGAAGGAGAAACTGAACACACAGGGGGGATGATGCCGGGATGCTTTGATTGTCCTCATCCCAGCTCATCCAGACCTTTGTGCATCCACACCCAGATCCCTCTTGCCAAGTGCACGTTGTTCCTCTGCTATCTAAACACTAACTTACTTTCTTTGGGAATACATGAAAATGCAGCAGCAGTTGGCCGGTGCTGGTTTGGCATCTGCGTTGTTGCTCAATTGTTGCAGACACGTGGCAGGTCCAGATCCAGGCTGCGCAGTTCATCGGCCTACTTTGGAGCCCTGACAGTGGAGCAGAAATGTGAGCTGGCTGAGCGGGAGCTGCTGGACGTGAAAAGTGACATTCAGAAGATGGAGGAGGATTCGGAGGAGACCTTGCATGACCTCGAGGTACAGCTCTTAGGATAGCGAGGCATCCTGCAGCACTGTGGATTTTCACACCTCTTTGACTGTGATGTGACTTCGTTACTACAGGCAGTCATACAAGAAGCAGATGCTTGGTGGGCTGATGTTAAGAAAGTTGTCAATGACTTTGAGGAAGACATTGTCAAAACCATCTCCAACGAGAAAGGGAGCATCACAGCTTCTGAGAAGCTGTTGAGATACCTGGAGGAGAAGAACCACCAGAGGGTCAGTGCAGCATGGCAGAAGTTGAGCCTGGTCCATCTGAAAATTCAGGTTCCCATACCCCTACATGAGCTGCCTCATATTCTCAGACTATCTTAGCAACTAACCCTGTGAGCACAGGTGAGGCAGAGCAGCGGTGTGAGGGCTGCAGTGCAGGTGGAACAAAGGGAAAGCGCACAGTAAAGCATGGGGCCTGGTGCTCTGCCTCCTCCCAGGCCCTGCTGTCACTCTCTCATCTGTTTTTTTTTTCTTCAGGATCTGATGAGACAGAAGCTGCGCTTAGAAAGCAATTTTCTCAGGAGCTACAAGAAGAAGCTGCAGCAGCAGCTCAGGCAGGTGCGTGCTGCCTGGACACCCAGTATGGGACATTTGTCTGACATTTCTCTTTAAGCCTCAGGTTTGCAGCCAGGCAGATAACCGTGCGCTTTAAGTCTGCTTTCCCCATCAAGTGAAGCTCTTTTATTTGAGTCTGAGCTTCGGTCAGTACTCTGCAGCTCTGTTTCCCTGGGCTTGCAGAAGGAGCAGGTGGGAGACATGCTCCATGAGGTCCATGCAGAGCTGCTGCAGGTTAAGAAAGCACAGTATGAGGAGGAGATTGATGAGAAGAACAAGGAGCTGCAGCAGCTAAAGCTGGCCTTAGAGAAGATCCAGATCCTCAACTTCTGGAAGGTGAGTGAAGATCCCAGTGCCCCTACTTGTCCTTCCTGCTATTCCCCATGGTCACACATGAGCTGACCAGCAGCTCTTGCAGCCTTCCCTTCCTCAGTCCAAGTATGCCAGTGGCTCTGCAGGGACTGGAGATCTGCCACTGCACCTGCTGCCAGTGTCCTGCTCTTGTGTTCCAGAAAAAGCTGCACAATGCCATGGAAACATCTGCAGTTCTGATGAAAGACATCTCCCAGAGGAAAGGGATGCTGGAGAAGATCGAAAGAAATACTACTCTTGTGAAGGAGGTAAGAGAACAATTTAGGAATCACTGAGACTTCACTTGAGAGGACTTTTTTTTAGGCCATAGCTATCTGCATGCCTTGAATCCCAAGTGAGAATAAGTCCTGGAGCTCCTGCTGCTGTGGGTGGGGATGGGCAGCTTTGCTCCTTTGTGGATTTTACCCCTCCAGGGTCCATCCACTGCCTTTTTGAAGTTCTCTTTCCTTGAGGTTTTCACCAGCAGTGTCCTTCCTAGTGAGAAGTAGCACAGATGTTACAGTCTGGGGACATGGACGCTGGGCCACCTCTGGGCAGCTCCACTATGGGATGGAGGCATGGGTGGGTACATCGCATCATGTCCCTCCTTTATCCTACCCTGTCCTTGCCCTCTGTCACTTTTCCTCCTGCAGCAACAAGCCAAAGAGGAAAGACTCATTGGGTGGCTGCAGAAGCAGCTGTCAGACTACAGCACCCCTCCTGTGATGAATTACGTGCAGACAATGATTGCTGTTGCTGACCTGGAAAAGAGTATCAAGGCTTGGGAGAGGAAGGTGGCAATTGCTGAGGTGAGGGAGATGGGACCAGGAGTGGGCTGGGTGCTGTCTCCTGCTGTGCTGCTGCAGGCAGCACTGGAGGCTCTTCCTGTTGCCTGCTCCCTACTCCCAGAACAGAGACTGAATTTTAACAGCTGAGCTTGGAGGTGAGGATGCAGCACGTAACTCGACAGGCTGCTCCATCAGGCTGGGCTCATGCTGGAACCCGAAGGGTGTGTAAGAAGGGGACACACGGTGCCTGGGATGTGTCTGGTTGCAGCACCCCAGCCAGCCGATGGCTCCCCAGTGCTGGTGCTTCTCTTTGATGATCTCAAACATTTCTTCCTCATCTGTATCTTCACTGTTCCCTGGTAAGGAATGGCTCTATCTGGCTAAGAGCCAACAAACATGAGTTCATGACAAAGCTGCAAGAACAGTATCTTTGTCTCTGGCACTGGCACAACTCCTGCAGCCTGGGAGGAGATGTGGAGATAAGAGACGAGCATTGTCAAAGCCCGTGGGCTGCAGTGTGCATTGAGTGCAGGTGGGAACAGGGTGGGTGCAGGGGAATGCCATACAGCAGCTTTCTCCCCAGCACATCACTGCTGCCTGAACTCATTTAGATCTTCTCCTTTGCCCCCTTGCAGATGACCTTGCAAAGCCACCACAGAGCATGGAACCAAGTCAAGATGTCTGGTAACCTGCACCTGCCTTGTGTGATGCTTCCGGGCAAGCAGCGGAAGCTGCAGGGGGAGCCGGCCTTGTGGGGAAAAGTGCTATCAAATGGGTAACTGTAGCACCCTGAGAGGTGCAGGGGGCTGAAACCACTTGTGCATGAAATGATAAATTAACCACAGCTCTGTTGTGAGTCTACCTCTTCAGTCAGTCCCAGCACAGCTTTCAAGTGCAGTTGCTCTTGGAGACAGGAAGCATCTCCTCACTGTGGGAGAAGTAAATCCCAAGTCGCCCATCCTTAGATGAGTTTGGGGATTCACTTTTCATCCTTGGGGTTGAAATCGCCTTCCTGAAATACCACTGCTGCCTGTGTAGAGGTCTCTTCTCATTCTGTGAGTGGAGGCTGCAGCTCAGCTTGTGCCCTGACAATCTACTCCTGCCCTCTCAGTTGTGGCCAAGATCCCTGCTGCAGTGGGACACCAGGGCATGCAGGAACGGCCTATAGCACCTCATGCCACTGTCACTGAGAATGGCCTTCAGGAGCCATATCTCAGTTCCTTTAGTCTGGCACCTCACAGGGTTTCCAGGGTCACCTTTTAGGAGAAAAAGCCAGGTTGTGTTACAGCAGCCCCACTGCTCTCCCATCTCATGGAATTCAGCGGAATCCACAATTTCTTATTCTTCGCTCTGTATCCAGATGGAGTTTTTCATCCTTCATAGATTCTTCCATACAAAAGACAAGGTTGCTTCAGACTTGGGGTTGTATTGCACACTGTGTGTTGTGTAGAAGGAAGATAGGTGGCAGCTGGGTTCTGAGCAGGGCAGAGAAGTAGTGTCCACACAGAGTCCTTCAAGCAGGAGATGACGTATGAGCCATGGAAGTATGGCAACAATGTCAGAGGGGCACCCAGGGCCAGGCTGATCCACAGCAGTGTGTTATGGTAGCAGCCATCGAAAAGCAGTTTTGGCAGGCAGGAGAGTGAGGTCTGTCTGGAAAAGCAAACAGCAGTCACTAACAGGGGTCTGCTCGTGTGGTTGTACCATTCTCTAAGGGGCAAGCATGCCCTTGGCTAACGGACAGATCCATACTGCATTTGTTTTTCTATTATAAGGATGAGAACTCAATTTATTTCTAATGTGTGCCCTTGCCAAAGGGCTCTGTGTTTATGTGCTTCATAACAGAACAATTAAAAACCCCATTAATACTAAAATCTTAGTGGGCTTGCATAGAAAGAAGAAAGAACGGGTCGTCCGCATAGAGCCAAAAGTAGCTAAATTTAGAGGCGTATCATAGGAATGGAAAGACTTTGAAATTATTTTCAAAGGCCTGAAAGAGATGAGATAGGAAGGATTATAGAATGCCACAGGTTTTGTGTTCAGAAGCCATCGCGGTTGGATAGACCATTACATGAAGGCAGTCTGCTCTCGGACAATACTCAAAAGCTTTCAGACCAGCAGCAGGCTCAGTGCAGCTCGGGTGACAGAGCCTGACCTCACTGGGCTGGTTATGAAACCTTCTGGGCTCTGGTCTCATCTGCTGAGAAAGATTTGATGGGAAGGACAAGTATAAATGGCTCAAGGATCTGGTTGCTGTTTTCTCACCTCTGGAGAATCAAGGAGATGTTTTCCTGATGGACTTACATACAAGGGGTTCTGCATGCAGGGCTTTTTTTTGTAATGTTTTGGTGACACAAATGAAGGATGCTCTTCACTTTACGTTAAGAATTCCATTGCCAAACAGCACTTCATTCTGAAACCAGCATTTGCAGTCCTGCCTGTCTTACTTAGGCCAGAAGGTCAAAATAGATGGTTTTAACTATTATCTTAAACTACAGACCAAGGGCACTGAAAACAAGCAACTCATTTGTTTTCTCCTTTTTGGATGCCGTGAAAATAACTAAAGGCATTTAGAATCTTTAAATTTGTTTGGCTTCCTATTTAGGTAGCCTTGGGAGCCTAATTTTATGTATTGCTTTTCCAAGCTTGGCAGATGAGGCAGACAGCAGGTCTACATTTGTGGCTTTGCAGTCACAGGCGGAGTGTCACAGATATTTTCTCTCCTGAGCACATAAAAGGCTCAGCATTGACTGTGGCCAGGTAGTAAAACAGCAGCAGTAATGACTTGTGTCCCACTTAGTGGCTTCCAATGGGCGGACAGTGACGTCTCTCTCCTGGAGGCTTTTGGACTAAAGAACATGATCATTCCTTGCTGAATCTGCACATGAAACACTGTAAGAACAGCCTCGCAGAGGCACTGGTGGAAAGAAAGATATTCTGCCTATTTATAGATGTCAATAAGATCCAGCTTCCAGGGGATCTCAGCAGTGTTTTGGAAACTTCCTCCTTCCCTGACAGGGCCTGGGAATGCTAGCAGCCTGGGCTTCCTGGGCCTTGCCCACGTTCTGGGGGAAGGGGAAGCACTAGTGACGTACTGACTCATGCCCTCTATTTCCTGCAGTGGAACATCCCGACTCCATCCCTCCCTCGAGAAGAGCCAAGGTTCAGCTTAGTGGGACCAGAGTGCTATTTCTGAAGAGCCTATTCCCAGCAGCACAAACTACATGCCTACAGAAAGTTTGAAGCTTTTAATTTAATAAAGTCATTTCATGTCTGTCTGCATCCCGATACTCTTTTGAGACTAAGCTAAAATATAAAGCTTGCTCATTCATGACTTCAAATGTCAAGGTTTAATTACATACAATGCCTCAGAATTAAACTTCAAACCAGAGAAATTTTTTGAACCATTCAGAAGACAGATATGTCCAAACCAGGGGCTGGAAGTGCTGCAGAGCCCAGCTGCTGCCCGTGGGTCTGCGTTCCCCAAGGTGACGAGAGGGGAGGGCTGGCTGCAGGCTCCAGGTGAGCCTCACCTGTGCATGGCACCAAAATTCCCTTTTAAAGCTGTGCTGGTTGGGAAGAAGCAGAGCAATTGGCCCATCAGGGTGACAAATGTCTGCCAGCTGACAGGTACCAGTGCACGTTGCTTTGTCATTGACTTTCATTTCACCTTCCTGACAAAGCTTTCAGCAGTGAAGGAGGATGAAGCCCCCCAACAACACATCTCCTAATGGCAGTCCAGGGACAGGAATCTTGTAGTTCTCTTAGGTGCTATATCTGTATTGAAAATTTGCATTTAATTTAAGCTCTCTTACTAATTAAAGATTGGGATTTAGAAGACGATGGCATCTTGCAATATTTACGGCCCCAGCTCTGGAGCAATATCTCAGCAGGGAGAAAATTAGCAAGTTTTGAAAACTTGAAAATTATGAAGGGCCAGACATCAGGAGAAGACTAAAGAAAATCTCAGGTCCACTGAGAAAAAAATGGATACTTCTGAGCCAGCTTCGTGACTTGCAGGGCCCAATTCATTATTTTCTAAGACATATTGTTGTCAAAGCTGTAATTTAGCTCATAAAATGTTTGTTGTTCTAGGGATAATAACATGTCCTGGGGTTAATGGGTTCTGTAACCTCCCATGTTTTGGTTATTTTTAAAAAGCAGTGGTTGGCAGCCAGCTGGAGAGCGCTTTATTAGTAACATCCCCAGAGAGCAGACAGCCTAACACTTGATATCTTCTGGTTAGAGGGTACAGCAAGGACACAAAGCTCCTCACTGAGCCTTGGAATATGAGAAGATAACGACGACACAGCCCCAGACGCGCAGTGCAGCATCCCCACGGAGCCCTGCACTGGCACGGAGCGACGCTCCCGTCTCAACATAAAATATGAGCAAGTTTGAATGTCTGGCAATGGTTACATTTGAAAGCAAAGGTCTGTGTTCTTGACTAATGTAATGCTATCTCCTCTGTTTCTGAGCCGCTCCAGAGAGGTGCACCAGCACATGGTCCTGTGTGGAGCCAAGACCTGGACTTGATCCTTGGTGCTGTGATTCTGCATCAGATCAATATCACCAGTATCACATCTTACTTAAATATCTGTATATATATATATCAGGTCAAAACCCACTCCTTTGGAGCATTGCACACCCAGTTTCTCTTTTAGGTAAATGCATGATCTTCCGTTCTCTGTGGAAATGCACATCCTAATCTATCTGAGTTTAACTTTTCAATATGTTCAACAGAATAATTTCACTGTCTATATGGTAAGCATGCCTCTAAGGAATGTATAAATATACAATACACATCTTTATATATGCAAATAGTATGAATGTGGAGGAGCTTTAGTAGCTAGCAAGCAATGAAGTACAATTAATTCATCCACCCCTAAAGAAGTGACCTTTCTTAGTCAACTGCACTGGAAAAAGGAGTTTGCACTACAGAAATCCAGCAGAGGTTAAAGATGTAAGCTTTGTAGAGAGTCTCCTGGTATCTTTTTTTCACAGATCCATCTCCTTGTATGGGGATGAGAATGGAAGCAAGGAACAGAGGCTAATAGAGGCTAAAATAGTCTTAGGTGCAGGATTATGCATCTGTCTAAAATAGGTAAGGATTTGATTTTTGGATCATGTCCATACTTTACTTGAGTAAATCAAGTGTCTGTTTCTGAAGAAACAGTAATGAAAACAAAACTTATGTTTACTCCTAATGTGAACACTGTATATTAATTGCAGTAATATATACTATTGCCACCCTGCTAGTAATGTTTAGGGTCTTTTCCACAAGGATGTAAATGGCAATCCTAAATGTGAGGTACGCAAGGTGTGTGGTCATTTCCTGAAAGCCTTACCTTGTTTTTATCAAAGCGTTTTATCAAGTATTGCCCAGTGACCTTGACTGGCTCAGTTCTGAACCCACATTCAGCCATGCTGCAGGTGTGCCAAATTATACCTGCACAGCCAGCAGGGGTTCTTGTATATTCTTTATGAAGCTAAAGCACATCACCTAGCAGCCTTACTAGGAACTAAGCAGCAGCACACACTTTTTGTAAGAGGCACCTTAACACCAGTCCAGGTGAAACTGCTGTCTCCAAGTTGCAGGTTTTGTAAGGGGATTGAGGCAGCAGCGCACGTTCCGATAACAAAAGACAAGCCAGATGAAACAATCTGCCACCTGCAGCAATAGACCATAAAAATAATCTCTCCCTCTTGGTTCAGTTCCATTCCTTCTGCACAGTTTGAATATAATCCAGTATAAATGTGGCAACTGTATTTATAGAGGCATTCACCTTGGCTTGATTTGAAGTATCCTTTTGCAGGCCAAGCACCACAAAGTTCTAAATATAACATCAATATTAAAGGTGACAAATAAAATAGTTTGTATATAAGTAAGTTCACAGACCAGTAAAGGACAAGGAACTAAGAGTAAAGTGCAAAGCTATATGGGTCTATGGTAATTTTGGAACTGGGAACATCAGAAACAGGAACACAACTGACAAACCCAACTGCTGCTCATGCTCCTCAGCCCCTACTCCAGGCATGAATGAAGTCTGTTTCTCTGTGGCAATGACAAATGTGTGTGCAAATTGCAAAACCCTAGCTGAGTGGACTAGATAATGGCAAACGCACCCACCTCAAACATCCAGTGCAGACATGCTGCTGAATGAAATGCAGCGTTACCTGCAGTGAGTATAACCAACCTGATCCTCCTCTGCATACAAAGGCTGCAGCACTTTAATTATCTCCTAAGAATTCACTGAAGGGCTTTGCAATCTGCTGCTCCTGGGCTAAACACAAAGGTCTTACTGGGAAAAAAACAAAAAGCAGAGGGACAGAAAGAGTGCTTGTGCCCCACAGAGCATGCTCTAAAGTGCAGGGTGCTGATGACATGGCAAACTACCAGGTAGGCAAAAGGCCTTAACAGCTATCTTTAGATAGGTGCTGTGATGTTGTGGCACAAACAACAAGGTGAAAGATGCAATTAGAAGGTTAAACACTCTGAAATTGCAAGGTAGAAAACAATGAGCGATAGGGAAATTTTGCCATGATCAGATGGCTGGTAGACAGCACACAGGTTTTCAACAGAGGTGTGAAAGCAGTGAAGTTCCAGAGAAAGGGGAAAAATTCATTAAAACCAAAATGCAACAACAGGAAGGCTGTTACTCTTTGGTGGCCTGGGTAAGGTACTCTGCTGTGTGTCTCTAGCAGAGAAGAGGAAGAAACTGATCTAGATCTAAGACAGCAGAGCTGCAGGAGGGTACCATTAATGGTGGGGCCCTCAGCAGATTCCTAGCTGGTGCTTTTCAAGTATAACAGCCTGAAAGATATGCCGAAACTCAGCAATAAGCAGGGATGGCAGTGCTGTGTTCAACTATTGTACAGATTGGATACCATTGAAAAGCTTTAGGTGCAGAAGAGAGCAATGAATAAATCATGGGAGATAAAGCTCACTGAAGTCAATAAGAATCTTGCAGCCCATTAATTTCAGCAGGAAGTTCAGGGATTGAATTGATCGTTGAGATTGGGCCCTAGTCCACCGAGAACAATCCTAAAGATTGGAGGGCAATCGGCTGCCATACAAGTCAATGCTCAGAGGTGCCCTGCAGATCCTTTATTCCTCCTGAGCAGCCATTTCGTACATAAATTGCAGTGTGGTGGTTGCAGGCCCAGTTGCAGCAGCTGGTGGGTGCTGTGTGGCATTGCAGGGGGGAGAGGAATGGGTAGACAGGAGGAGGGGAGGAAGATGGAAGTTTTCTCTTGGGGATGGGATGGTTCTTCCTGCACTGGTATTTGGGGAAGCAACATGGCTGCTAAATACTGCTGGAATTTTCTCTCCAGCTGTAAGAAATGCTGTTTTTTCCTGCTCAGCCCAAATTAAAGTTCTGATACACAAAAGAAATACTAAGCACAGACTCCATGAAGTCCACTAGGTTTGATATTGGTATTTTGTTTGATAACATTTCACTAATGCTATCATGAAGGACAATGAATAATATTAAACAGATTCTGAAGGCAACAGAACAGGTTTGCATTTCCAAACCTCCTTTGTTTTGTACTGCAGAATGAACTCTCCAACAAACATTTATTAGACTCAGCAAAAAGATACTGTCAATTTTAAGGTATATTCTGTAAGTAACTCAGGCTGTATTTTCTACAGAAATAAATAAAACAGACTTGGATGTTATCTCAAGCAATGACATCAAGTGGAATATTCCTAAAGAAAATAAACTATATTTACTCACATTTGTGAACATAGTTGATTCATGAATATTTAGCAAAATCCACTGAAAGAAAAACAGAGAGCAGTGAGGGCTTTAGGAAAATGATGCCATATTTTACTGGAAAGGAAAGCTTACTTCTTAGTCCCCAGAATCTTTGAACAAAACTTCTTTTTTTTGTTCTCCACTGCCACTGATGCTAGCATGAAGGATTCTGTAGATATTCTGGAGGACATCTACTAGGAGACACAGCACAGAGCTATTTGCATTAACAAAGCTACAAAGTTTTTCTTCTGCAGATCTCACAAAGCATCCTAAAAAGGTACAGCTTTTCACAGAGGATAGGAAAATTAGACCCAGAGATACAAAGGGACACCTAGCAGCACATAAAGTGAGAGAGGCAGCACTCTGATCCCAGTGCCTCCCCCTTCCTTTCTTTACACTAAGTAGACACTGCAGTCCTCATCTTTGGAGTAACCATGCTTAAGAGGTTAAGTACAAACATGACAAAGTGTGCCATTTTGTAATGCAGTACGTCAGCATCAAGGTAGATGCAGAA